TTCATTCATATAAATCTTCCCCATTGCATTTTGTGCACATTCATATCTACTGATTTAACATTAGCTACACATTTGTGAGATGCATGAACTGTCATGTGTTACATCTGACTGCACTGTCAATGGCTGAGTTACTGGCCCTAAAAGCTTTCCATTGAACCAACCAGATCTGAGTCAGGTCACTGGAGACAGATCCTGCAGCAGCCACTAAACAACTTGTTTTTACAGAACTCCTCCAAAGTACAGAATGCATTCCATGGTAGTTGAGATCACATTAAAAAAAGCCCCAAACAATTCACCTTCAGGTATCAAGTGGATATAGCAAGGAAAAAAGCATCTGATACATGAGCTGATTTATGAGGATAACAACGGGCTGTATGCTGGTAAATGAGAGCAAGTTCCAAGCTCAGTTCCCATTTTGAGGCCAAAAAGAGGTTGTCACCACCTCTGTTGCAGTGGTATAAATCTCAAAGCACAGTATCTGGAGAGAAATACTGTGTTCCTGAGCAATCTCTCAAGAGAACTGAAAGGCTCTAGATACCTGAAAACAATCCTAAAAGGTCCAAAGTTTATGTTAGTTTATGGTTTTCTTGCACATACAGAAGCTACCTTATATCCTGCTAGTCAAAACCAACAGACTTTCTGATTTCAGTCAGAGCAGCATTTGTTCTCCAACATGCATCTTTATTCCATTTGCTAACCTACATGCTTACAGCAGTGCAAAGAAATTAAATATACTCCCCATAAGGCTAATGTTTTTCTGCAGCTTCTTATAATTTTATCAACTTTCATCTGTTTCTGCTCAAAGTTTCCACATTTGTTTTCTGACCCAGACTTAAAAAATATGAGCAAAAAAATCAGATATATGTTCCCAAAGAAGACCACAAGGGAAAGGGAGACTGAAGTGACTTACAGTGTAGACAGCAGCAAGGCTAATATTAAAAAGAAGTTAATAAATATATCAAAGAACACTACATTGTAGCGTGTGGACTTAAGCTTTGCCATAAGGAGTGCCACAAGATTAAGCAAGCGAAGTACTTTTCATTACTTTCAAGGAAACCCACTCAAATTCACCTACTATGAACTACAGAACACAGCTATATTCACCTGTCATAAAAAAATACAATTAAAAAATTAAATCAAAAAACTTTATTACATGATGTTTAAATTGCTGAGGCTTCTTTCTACAGTGATGGTGGCAGGCACTGTATCACCTAACATAGCATGCATGTACTCAAAATAAAATGATATGCAGCTACTATCCAAGACATTCCCAAGATCAAATAAACAAACAAGACAGATGTAAACATTAATACCTCATGAGGTGATACAGGTCGTGTCACATTGAAGCTTTCTTCTACATCTGGAGTACCTACGTAGATATTGAGGTACCTGTAATACACGCAGTTTCAATATGAGCCAAATGTTTTTCAGGCAACCTGAAGGGAGCAAAATTTTACATATACTGAAAAATGAAGTTACTTTGATGTAACTTCTGATGTACAGGCTGATTAATCATGAGCAATGATTCTTCCCAAAGTAACTCACTGTATTTGAGTTGTGGTCTACTTAGTTAAAATTTAACCTGCATATGCAATAAACCCCAAATTACCTTTGCAAATAGACAAAGAGAAACTCCAATCTGTCATCTGAGATTACTGAACTACAGAATAATGGTGACATAAGGTATTGTTAACAGCTGGTTATTAAGTCTGTTTCAAGAGTCTTCTTTAAGTCTCTCATTGTTCATTGCATCAAATAAGAGATAAGACATGGAATATACTCTCTGATTTATACCTACACAAGTGCCTACAAACATTTTATAGCCAACAACAAACCCAGGAGATAGTACGCAGGCTGCTACTCATATGGAAATCATTTCATGCTTACTTCAGGTACCACATTGGGTCAGCATCACTTGTAACTTTTTCATTGGCCTTCATGATTTTCTTTATCTGGAGGGGAAAAAAAATAAAATAGAACCATGTGCCTTTTCTGAGTACTGCAAGCTCCTCTCTTCCCACCAGGTAAGCACATACCTCTACGTTGATGAAATAGTTGAATGAGTCTATGTGCTGTTTTACCAGACCTTTCACCTGAAAAACACATGCATGCAGCAAATAAAATTAGCTTCAATAACGTTAATCGTACAGGGCAGAAATTAAGATATAAGCATTTATAGGTACTTTTGGATCTGTGCTAAATTCTTTCAGATGACAAACATGTTCGAGCCTTGCAGAATCCACATCTGTGGCTATACACTGCCTATGACAAACACAGCCATGAACTGGACACCACAGTCCTGTGTAAAGACCATGAATAGGGTCTCTGAGTGCCAGTAAAACAGTAAAATAATCTGGAACCATGACACATATACACTGTTCATTGAGAACAGCCACATAAATATGCAAAGCTCTAAGAGGATGCATCCACAAAATAATCAGTAAATTAACAAGGAAACCGATCTACGGAATGAGTTTATCCATAACTGCAGAGAACTAAAAAAAAATAATAATTGTGAAATTCACAAAAAAGGTGAGAACAGATATTCTGGGAATAGCAAAAAACAGCAAAAGCTAGAAGAGGGAAATGTAAAGTTAGAATGGAGGTGAAGCACTCATGCCACAAAACGTGTGTATCACTAACCTTTAGAAATGCTGGAAGAAGTCTCCATTTTTCCTGAAAACAAAAAACAGTTTGAAATATCTTTCCAAAGAGTAACCAAACACCTCAGATGCTTGAGCTTTTTTATCTGTTTGTTTTATTATTATTGTTGGGTTTTAGTCACTAACATTATTTCAAATCAGATCTATTGAGGAAAAAAAAAAAAGACTCTCTAAAGCCAACATAGATGGATAAAAATGACCTGGATTATCTTAGTAAGCCATATGTGCTATGCAATATTTACTCAGGATGCACTGAGTAATATTTATTCAGCACACTGCCTTTTCCAAGGGCAACTTCTGTGAGAATATATATTTCTTAGAAAATTCCTTACTACTATGTCCTCATTTAAGATCAACTAGCATTTTTTTGTCAACACTGTAAATTATATTCCTAGGAAGGGAAGACTTCCTATGACTTTTACTTTACAAAATACAAGCAAGAACCTCAGTCCTGGGAGCAGCACTCGTAGACACAAGTCTCTGTAAAACCCACCAGAACCCTGACTCCTACAAAGACTCAGCAAGGCTGACGAGTGCTAAGCATATCAAGGTTCCTACAAACTTTCCCCTATTTCTATTCTTTAATGATCACAGGAAACATCTCTTTAAATCAGCCCCATCTTCTCTCACCACGGCATGGGGAGCCCATGCCAGATTTGGGAGGAGAGATACCCAGACAGCATAGACTGAGGTCGCATCACTCCGCTCCTGCAGAGAGTAATATCCACAGAGCACCAACACCTCATAATTCCGACACTCAGCATTTAGGAGCACGCGGCGTGGCTGTGGTGTGACACTGTAGCTCACGGTGCAGGAGCACGTAGAGGAATTCATGGCAAAACACAGCGCCAGGCACCCTGGACACGGAGGCTCCACGCCTGGAGTGCTCTTCCTACAGGAAAAGCCCCGTGGAACCAAAGGGACTCGAAATTCGACCCTCATCTCCTCTCCGTGCCGACGTGAGGCAATCAGCTGGATTTAAAGGGCTGAAACCTCCGTGCCCGCGTTTGCAGGACACGGGCCGGGCAGAGGCTGAGGACGGGGCGGCACCTCAGCACCCGAGCGCAGGTCCCGCACCGCGGGCAGGCGGGCTCCTTACCCCTCACCCCACCTCACCCCGGCCCGGCCCAGGCCACGCTCCGGGAGCGCCCGCCGCCCCCTCCCTCGCCCCCCCGGCTGACCTCACCTGTTGACGGGGCGCCGCTTCTGCCCCCTCCTGCGCCCACCCCCCGCGCCGCCATCGCCGCGCCCCCCACGGGCGCGGCGCTCCTCCTCACTGCGTCCCCGCGCACCGCCCGCCGCGCCCGAAGGTTCCGGCCCGCGGAGCCGGGCAGGGCGATGCCTGAAAGCAGTGAGGGCTCCCCAACCCCCCCTCCCAGTGCCCCGGCTCCTCCCGCGGGGCTTTAGCGCCTGGCAGCGTTCGGGGGGCTCCTCCCTGAATCCCTGAGCCGGCCACCGCCCCCCCCGGCGCCGCAGCCGGGGATCCAGGAGGCGGCAGGGCCGGAGGGAACACAGAGCAGTTGGGGTACAAACTCATTTCTTGCAATTTTTATCATGTAAAGCAACACGAGGCATAAGCTTTTAGCATTATTATTATTATTATAATCATCGTTATTGCCTTTTTTCTTATCTTAATGTTGAATGCTGTAGCTGGATCACCTACAAGCTCTTTTGCTTTCTCTCTCCAGTGCTATAGAGAAACCAAAATCCCAGATAGGGGACTACTCATCTTTCCCAGTTTAAGATTAACGAGAAACATCAGTGATTTCTGCAGGTTCCCGTGGCAGTAAGTTTTTGCCAGTTCACATATAGTAATTGCTAAGTATGCTTTAAAAGCAGCGTGAAAACATTGCTTACACACGTCTGCTCTGGCTCAGTTTCCATGTGAGTAACATTTACGGAGTTGGGTCTGCACTCAGTGCATTTCGGACATAAAGGCGCAGGTTAAACATAAAGGCAGTATTTCAGACCAATTCTATTTGGTTTCCTGCCTAAAGTGCACAGTCAGTCTGGAAAATTTGTTCAGTACGTGGCAAGTCTTCTGTCAGGCACAGGGAAAGCTAGTAGCTTCTCACAGAAGCCACCCCTGTAGCCCAACCCCTCCATCTTTGCCATGCAAACCAAATACATTCTTCTTCCAATTAGTCAGATTTAAGCAAGCAGCTGTTTTGAATGTTATTTGTGCAGCTGGATTAAAGTCACTCCTCTACCTCTGAGCCACTCCTGAGAAGCTACAGAAAAAGGGTCACAACATATTATTAGTGCAGTCATTTACCTTTGGCATTTAACAATCCACAGCATTTAAGAAAGTTTATATAAATAACTTTTCACCACTGATGGTATCACAAACAAAATTTAATGCATCCAAACCCTCAAATATTTGTTTTTTTAACAAAGAAAGCTGCTACAGAATGGCATCTTGTTTCACAAGAACAACTTCAGAGCAGAGGCAAGTGCATTTCAGCCACAGCAGCATAAACAGCATGCAACATATGACATTAAACAGATGCAATGTCCATGTTTGAAACATTAAAAAACATTAAACAATCACTTGAAACATAGGCCATGCTATAAAATGCCCTTTGCAAGTTATCTTATTCACCAAAACCCACAGATGAACCCTACTTTTTGAGTATTTACTGGTAAAAACTAGTACGACAGCTTTCCCAGTTCCTTAAAGATCTATAGTTTTATATTAATTTGTACAATACAATGTATATGAAGTATTATGATAAAAAGTTCATAATCGCATTAGCAATCATCTTCAAATGTTACAAAATCCTCTTTTGACTAAGCTCAGAATCATTTAGGTATTTCTCAAGATGTAGCAAATCGCTAAGATTTAATTCCCCCTAACTGCTTTTGAAATGCATTTTTCTCTTGATGATCGTGAATTGCATATCAAAATTCCATATTCATGTGAGCAAGCCTGACTTAACTAGTGGCACAATTATTATATTCTAAGAGTTCCTTTCTCTCAGGTTTTCCAGGAGACAGTTCCCTTTAAAATATGTATTCATCTTTATTTTGTGCAATGTTTTTACAAGGGTTAGAACAGAAGTGCACTAGTGAAATTTTTCTAAAAAGGCATTTTGAAGAAAGTTTTCCATATCATGTACATGTGACCAAAGTCCTTGGACACTGAGAAACAACTGACTAGAATTAATTTCCCTTACTATAAAGGGTACAGAATCCTGTAAAAACAGACTACAAAACCACAGTGCTAATAATGCCCAGTTTTTTTTAGACCTCTATGATAGACATAGTAATGTACACATACAATCTGTGTGACACATTAAGCTTTTACAGGTTATTTTTTTGTCTCTTCATAAAAAATAGATTGTAATATAAAATATTAAAAACAAGCTATAACCTGTACCACACTGAGGTTTTTTATATATGACATCTTAAAAGGACTATTATATGGTAATATATTAAAATATCATTTTCAAGTAAATTATTCAATTTCATAGACAAGAACATGTCTATATTATGTATTCCAGCAGTGTCTAATCCCAGTAATCTGAAATATGCAAAATAAAGCCTGTGTAAACTTGGAGAAGTTCACTTCCACATTTCTCGATTTCAAGCCTATTAATTTTCTGTATGCAAGATTCCCAATGCCTTAAATGGGAACTAAGTATTGGGGCCTATTCCAAAGGAATTTGAAGAAAACAGCAGCATTTCTCAGAGACTCCATAAAAGTGAATCTAATCACATTTTCAAGAATGACTATTTATTTGGGTTCTTGCTTTCAGACCTAAGAATCTGTTGTGAAAGACTAATATTCTGTTGGATGAGGGCATAAAAGGGGGAGGTGCTCTGTGGTACATTGTAAGGTCAGCCTTAAGTGCTTCTGGGAATAAAGGTCAGAAAGACCTAACTTAAAAATACTTAATACCCATCCATTAAGATCAAAGGTCAGTACATACACATATTAAAGATCTGTATGACCTCCACTGAATAAACAAAATGCTTATAAACATTATATACAGAAATTTACTCCACCCCCCAACATCATGTTTCTTATGTGTTTATCATTTACCTCAATTACAGTTGAGAAGTTCTCAATGATTCCTACTTGAAGTGGTGAATGCTGCTTCTGTAACTGCTATACTGCAAACAGCTTATAACACTGGCATTCCTCAATGTAACAGAGGCAAAGTTCTGGTTCCAGTAACTGCAGGAGTACCCAAACTTGCCCTAGTATGAACCTGGGTTTGGTTGAAGCAGTTATGCTATACTTTCTTCTTTGAAGTATTTTCAGAAACATAATTGTTGTCTTTGATGTTACTCTACAAAAATACAATGTAAGCACAGTACATTTTATCTACAGTTGTTTTGTCATTGCATAATATGCACTGCTATATGTAAATATATTTGAGTTGAAAAATAACATTGTTTTATTGGTGGCAAAACAGTAAGTACTTTGCCAGCTTTTTCCCACTGCAAATCCTAATAAATGTTTGCCATGAAAATTAATAATTCGCTGGTTATTACAAGTGACAATCCATTAAACAAACTTTTTTCTCTTAAAATATATATATATATGACCTTGAAATTAATTTTTTTACAGTGAATCTCAGAAACTATCTGTATACATTTTACAAAACCTTTTTCATCAACAGTCACCGGCGTAGGCTGTTCTTAGAGATCTGACTTCCCCACTGTCTTGGAAAATAAAAAAAGGGTACATTTTTTAATTGCCAGCTGTTTCTGCTTCTGCTTTCTCTATTGGTGCCTCAGGAAAAAGTAGTTTTCTAAGTATGTTTGCATAGAATGGTCCATACACTTTTTTATTGAAGTTTACAATGCTTGCATACTGAGATCCAACAAACTCCATCTCTGTCTGAATTACAGAAAGGCCTCCTGGCATAGTAGGCATACACTTCTGGACACCTGGAAGAGCAAGCAAGCTTCTCAAGAAGAGCTGGATTCGTTTGTCTGAAATGGAATAGAAAGTATGCTCAGAACAAATGTAAACGCAAGATGAAGCCATAGTTGATTTGTAAGCACATCAACACAGCAAAAAAAAATCCAACTATGTAAGCAATAACTCTTTCCCAAGACTATGTTGGCGTGGGAAACAATACTGAAAGCTTCTTAAATTTGGCTACTACAAGGTGGATGCAGCATAAATCTACTGCAGCAAGTTACATTAAACCTAGTGGGTTTTTTAACTTTGAGTCTATTACATATTAGATAAACCCAGAATGGACAGAAAGGATACTGAATAGCATTCATTTTCCCAAATTCTTCTCCAAAATACCAGGCTGTCTAGGCTTGTCTGTACAAGCACTTTTAGAATTATTTCTAGCTGCGACTAGAAATGCTCTGCAGCACACCAAGAACAGCATCTATAGGTGAACAACATTTCCTTAGTCTTAGTTGAGCCAGTATTTTACTGCAGTAAGAAAGTGCTCTTAAAAGATAGCTAGACAGCTGATTAAGCTTGCTGGGAGTAAGTTAACACACAGTTATGTAGTATCTTACTAACCAATCAAGGAACAGACAGGATTATTCTTCTCAACAATATGAGCGATTTGACCCATTAAATTACTCTGCATTTCCTCACTAAGAGTGGGAAGACCTCTTTCAGTTAGAGACTTGTTCACTTTGCTGCAAATCTGGACACCAATAGCATTCAGAGCCTCCTTCAAATCAAAAGATCTGGAAGAAACAGAAAAGCATTAACTTCTGCAGTTTCTGTGGCATAGCTTGTAAGGTGACCTCAATTGTCTCCTTTGCATTTTGTTTTCAACTTGCTCTCTGCAATGAGAGAATTTTGAAAAGTTATCTTTTACTGTTGCAGATTTATGTACATCTACAGATACAGGAAAATCTCTATGTGGAAAATAAAATAAAGGACCCAATTGTGATCCAAATGGTGGGGAAAAATAATACCAAATGTGCAGGCAGTGGCACCAGTTCACTTTGCCTTTGTGCCTGGGTGTTTTTCTGGGCCATGTGCATAGCATTTCATGAGAAAAAGCAGAGTGGAAAACTATTTTATAACATCAGACTTGCTTGTAGTGCAAGCAGCAGCAGAAATAGGCAACCAAGTAACTTGAACTATCTACAAGTTTGAAGCAATTGGCAAGACAATTTAGTGAATGTATTGCCACAGTCTCTCCAATATTAGGAGTGTATGAATGAACTTTATTACTAGGCTCCAAATTCTGTACACCAACATCAAGATTAAGATTATTAAAATCTAACTTTGAAAACATGTGTCTAACATACAGTGGACTTATAAAGGGAATACATAAATTATTAAAATTTGGTATCTTCCTACTAATAACAAGCTATAACATCAGAATTGTTTCCAACTATTTCCTGTTCAAAAAATAAGAGTGATAAAAACAAGGCCTTACTTCTTGTTCATGCCTTCAAGAAGAGGAACAGAGATCCTTTTCAGCTGGTCTGCAAAATCAGGCACATCTACAATTGCTGCACCCACCATATTGTTTGTTATGAGAGAAATACAGGCTATGATTTTTAATTGATTGAGCTTTTCTCTCAACTCCTGAAGACGAACTTCATCTGTTATTAGAGTCTGGAATTGAAACAATAATACTCATTTAGGAACAATGAGGGAGAGAGACAGGAAAAGGACATATCTAGGATGCAGTCATGAAGCATTACTCTTTTTAATCACAAATATGCAAAGCCAGAAGAGACAGCAGGTGAGATACCCTAAATATGTAGTATAGTATGAAGTGGCATTATACACAATACAAGAAGTAACCCTGTGGTGGGAAGAAAAGTAATGCCTTCAGTGCAGAGGAAACTGAGGCCATTGCATCTCACTCCTCACCACTGCTGATAAGCCTGAAACCAGCAATTCAGCCCATGATGTGGACTGCTCAGAGGATCCAGAGGACATTGCAGTGACCAGGGTTACAAACAGAATAGTCTTCTGGATTTCTGTCCTTTGAAAAATGCCAGGATTTGTAACTGACAGATAATGATGAACAACTGTGCTTGACAACCACCAGAGCAGGTTCTGCAAATGATATTATAACCTGCTACAGGCAAAAAGCCAGTTAATCATACCAAGAACATAAGTAATTCCCACAGCGAGATGTGGCTGGAGTGACTTATTTTAGGTTAAAAAAAGTTCATCCTAATCATATGCCTCCATTGAGCAGCAAGGACATTAACATCAAACTGTAGTTGGTAGCAATTTCATAGTCTGGCAAATTAGATCCACCAGAGGACATCTGTGTGCATCTCTTATTCAAAACTGTTCACAGAAAGGTAAGAATAAGGTGGCTTCCCTTCTATCCATGGACTGAGAGCATCAAGAGCATCCCCACGTATTTAGTAAATTCTCTGCCAGGCCATCCTAAGTGTAGCTAAAGCCCTCCCTGCAAATGCAAATTTTAGCCCTGACTGATGGCAAATTTCACATTGGCTTTATGGAAAGTTATGGAAAGTTGCAGAGGTCAGTAATCAGGACTTGGAGGGAAAAACTGAACACTGGTTCTTGAAACATGCACTAAGAAAGGATAAATATCTGCTTTAGAGGGCTTCAAGTTTTTACTTATTCTGTTCTAAAGAGCAATCCCATGAATTCCTGCTGCTGTTAGGAAAACAGGATGCTACAGTCAGTTCTTTTAAAGATACAGAGAGCCAAGTACCATGACTATAAGGCCCGGCCTTTGACCACAGCCAAGACTGCTCTTAGGTTGGAGCTGGTGAGCTATGATTGGAGAGAGGGAAAACGACCTTTACCTTGTTCTTTTCTAGTTGTTGACTTGCCTGTCTCAAATTTCAGAAACTGGACTATCATATAATCTCCAGATTTCAAATTTACTGTGCAGAAATTTAAGGAGTGCAAGAGAACATCCACTTATTGTCACTCAATAGTGGGATTATTATTTACACCAATTATTTCATATAGCTGGAAATCTGTAGACACCAAAACACTTACCTCTGGAATTGTTTTGCAATAATCCCACTGTAACAGTTTCAAGTAGCCGTTGTTTAGCACCAGTGTAGGACTAATAATTGGTTTTGAACTACTGTCAGCACCAGGGGACGATGAAGACTCATCAGAAATAGACGACAATTCATCTTCTATAGATTCCTTTATCCATTCTGTTGTGAGATTCAGGGCACCTAAGCATTGCAAATAGCACAGATTTACTGCATGCCTTCATCAAAATAAGCACTACCTTGAGAAAAAAAGAGAGTTGTACACATAAGAGAATTGAACTTCTGAAGACTCAAATATAGCCAAGAGCTGAGTCAATTCTCTCCTTCACTTTTTTTCCACTGATCATGTTCCACTGGTCACCTGAATACTCTAGCTAGTTTGCAGAAACCCAGCAATAATATATTAGATTTCAAACAAGATTTTTAGGTAGAAAAAGTATCAAAGTTTGAGGTCCCAAAGCATTGTTTTTCAGAGGCCACTTAAGTTGGGACACAGGACAGAAAAGTAGAGGTGAAGGGAAATAGAACTCTTTAAAGCATTTAATTTTACTCTTAATAGAGTTTTTCCTCAGGCTGTGTATACAAACACAGCAGGCCCTGTCAGTGGCTCAGTGCATTTTAGAAGCCCCTGCTCCAGATTTTAGCAAGCTTACTTATTCTTCTTGGAAGATGTATTTCTGAACACTATTTAACCATATTACACAAAACCTACAATAGTGGATCAAGTTGACTTTGCATCATCCAAGAAGTTTCATTCAGAGCCTGCCTTTTGTTTATTAAAAAACTTGATCTTACCCCATCCAATTTTCAGACACGCTAACTGGTTTTATATGTTTACTTCAGACTAACAACAGAATTGCTGCGCATGAAAGAGAGAAAAGTCTCATCCTTATGTAGGGCTTCTGCATCCAGACAGCAAGAGTCACTGTTTGTTTTTCAGATATCAACCAGTTTGGCAAATATAAGTTTGTCTGAAAGTGCCCCAGACTACAGATAAATAAACGTTATAGCAAGTTAAGCAATCACCCAGTGATTGTCAAAAAATTTTTGCATTAGTTAGAGACAAGAAATTGAAGTTTTCCTCTAAGTTAACAGCAACTTATAGATTTCCACAGCATGTCTTTAAATGGTCCTCTTTTTAGAGAAGAGTTTGAATTAAATATAGCACGATACATACTTGGTGTTTCTTCAAGAATTTCCTGGAATTTTGTTCTTTCGTAGTCCACCAAATTATGCCAGAGGTATGGCCTAAGGCTTTTAATTGTGTAGTTTGCCATATCCACTTTCATCAGATCCAAAACATGGAATATTTGTCTGAAAGGAAGAATTTAAAATCTCAGAGTTTAATTTAGTCTGTTGATTTTAACCAGCACATGTGAAGTATGTGTACATTGGCACTTTAACTTCTGAGAGAAGTAAACTCCTTCATTGGTATTTCAGAGTAACAGATGTTACCTGTCATCTGGAATACATGAAGGAGCAGTGTATACAGGGATTGGTCTAAGTTACAGAGACAGGACAAATGTAGCATCACTAAGTGCTACAACCCTCTAACTGTAAGAGAAAGGTTTTCAGGAACTACATCAATTTCAGTCCAAATGAAGAAATTTTAACCTTTTAGTCACCCTGATTGCACCAAGATAAATAATCCTTCTGAACCAGTTGCCCTGATCCTTATACATCCACAGAAGAACAACCAGCATTTACTCTTAATATTTCCGTGTACCTAAGGAGCAGTACAGTGGTTTATGCCCTTCTATGCAAATGTTTTACTCAAATTCAAGTAATAAGATCTTAACTAAAGAGCTCTTAATCTGAAGTTTGGCCTGCCAGAGAAAGAATGCAACAACCACTTCAAGAAGGAACAGTAAAAATGTGCTGCTTTCATTTTGTAAGGATGAACAAGACAGAAAAAAACAGTTTCTAAAACAGAGATTATTGCAAGAGTTGTTGGCTTAGATATTCAGAGCTGCCTAATTTCATAGAGGTATCCTACCCATTTCATTACAAAGTAAGATACACAATCTGGCCATGGTGTCAGAACAGGCGTTATGTAAACTGACACAATTTAACACTTGTTAAGGCTTTACCCCCCATTTCCACTGCCCAGAACTCTTTCAGGGAAGAGGTTTTTCCTCTAAAAAGCCCTCAAACCTCACCCCAATACCAACCTCAGTAATTCTACGATATTGTCAGTTGCCTTTAACTGTTTTATATCGTTGTCTCTTACTGGAGCACACAACTTTCCCATAGTGTTGATGATATAGTTGGCTAGACCAGGAATATCAACAGCATTGTGTTCTGCCTGCTGTCTTATAAGATCCGTATCTAGAACTTCACAAATTTGATTGTGAATCCTGTTTGCTCCAGGAGTCAGGAAGGAGAGAAGAATCTAAATTAGAGGGGGAAAGAAAAAGGAAAAGCTTATTAATAAAAACCAAACCACTTAGTAAACACACGAAAGTGGGATTTTAATACTAATGTCAAGTATATGTAGACTATAACCCCACATTTTAAGACTGAACATTATCTAAGGTAGCAGGGGTAAAAGGACTGTTAAAAGGATCACAGTACAGTTCTCCAAAAATGCTCAGTCAGTAAAACAGAAAGCAAGTGCACAACTAGACTCCTTCAAAAGCTGGGAGGCTGCCCTGTAAAACAAACATTTACTAACTTAAAATTCTGGAAGATTTAGCATTGTGCCAGGATTGAAGGTTTGTATGCTCACCTGTGTGATAATCAAACAATGAAGTCTAAGTAGGCAGGTGCAGTCACGTTTATACTTCTGTTCATGCCCTAAGCTCACAGTATGTTTCTGGAAATAGGCTAGCAGAGATGTGAAGCTTTGTGAAAAAAGATCATTTTCAACTCCTCATCACGCAGTGAAAGCTGAGTGAACATGCCACTGTGTGTTTGTGGACATATTCCTGGTTAATATAAATATACTATCAAATGCAAGCCATGGCTTATCTTAAAAGGAAGAACTTGAAGGTGTTGGCTTGACTAAGTTAAGCAGACCCTTCAGTGAACTAAGAGATCTCAGACCTAAGCTGACAAAACAACATGGAGAAGGAGGATTACCTCCTTAATTTCCTCAAAGAGCTTGATAGCATGTTCATATTCTGGAGGATCTTCGTTCAGTTCTGATTCCAAATGATCCCAAAATGCCTTGTGTACAATTTGTTTCACCGTGCCTGCAAAGCTGTGGGGTAAGGCAATTAGACACAGAAAAGATTCCCAATTAGCTTTCATCCTTGGTAACTATTTTAGATGCTTCACTTGTTGGGAAACACCTCACCAGATATTATGCCCTGCAACCACATCTTCCTTGGGCTGTGGATCACAGCTCCCAGAACATGTTCCCTTCATTTCTCTTCCCAATACCAATGCTGCTTTTTGCAAAATTCAGGCTCCTACCTGTTTTGTGGGAAGTCTTCATGTTTTATGCAAAAATTTGCATTTACAGCAATTTCATGAGCTAGAGTCCAGTTTGACAAATTTCTTGTAGCTGCCATCAGTTCATCAAATGTAATAACCTTGGGAGGGCTTGCTGCTGGAATAAACAGGATCAATTCAAGCCAAGTATCTGTAGTTGATAAGTGCAATTGAAAAATACTGAAACACAGAAATTTTACTGCTTGCTAATTGAAATCTAGGACTCTAGAAGAAACAACCTAAGATTACCAGGTCTTTATATCTTCTTAAAACACTAATTCAGGAAACTCCCAGCTTATCAGGGGTGTGTGTAGGGGTAACACCACAAAAACCTCAAAACATTTTGTGAAGCAATTTCGTATTTACACATTTGAACTAAGGTATCTTTATTTCCCCTTTAAAACAGGATCTTGCATTCCACAAATTTCCTATTAACTGCTGTGTAAAATCTACCAGATCAAAAGAATGGTCGATAACAGATATCAGATGTCCATTATAATCCTCAGCACATAATGGCTATATTGAGGTTTTATTGCCTGTTGAGAAGGTTCTGAAGTTACTGACTTGAGAACCCCTCACTTATGATCAGCAGATCTTTCACCTTCTGTGGAACCTAAGTTACACTCATTTTTTACAAACAAGCAGTAACAACAAAACAAACACTACATTGGAAAGCAAGGGCAAATTCCCAAAGTTTCTAAACCCCAAAATTCTATCACTTAACTTTAGTATTTGGAAGACTGGTAACAAAGAGCCAGCTGCCAATTGCAGCTCCACTAACAAGACTTGTTTTAATGTAAGATTCACTTACACTGATGTAAAAAGTTTGCATGGTCTGAGAATGCTTACAGACACAAACATGAACCACATCTTAACCAAGGTTTTATTTATCATTACTCAAATTATCTTCTTTGTGCAAATGTACGTTTTCCATTTGATTCTAATATTTATGAAAGAAAAATGTGAATTAGAGATTAATTCATATAATTTGATATAGTATTACAGATCTGTAAGTTACAGAATTAATTTTTAAGCACAGGGATCAAACAGAGGAAACCCACCCTTTGCACAAAGCAATATCTGTTTGAGTGGGAGACTGCTATCAAAGTCAAGGTTAGCTCAAGAATAGGATGTTCATGGTGGCACACTTTTCTTACACTTTCTGAAGGGTAGGAGTGCCCAGGGAGACCCCCATGGATACTGCTGCTGGTGGTGTTCCACACACAAGGAGATGCACTGCTTCACAGCAGAGAGAAAGCCGTGCCTTTCTCTTAATACTCTTAAACAGATTCAGAATCCCAGGTTCTACCCATGACAGCAAAGAGAAACAAGATAAGTTAGCCTTATTGGTCTATGCACAATGCAGCTAAGGTTGAAATAGGCTTACACGCTGGGGAACTGGGTTTGCTGGAAGAATCACTGTTAAAGCTCTGCCTCGAATATTCCGAGTCGCTGGAAGCTGCTGTGCTTTCCGAGAGGCGTGAAGAGTCTGAATCACTGTTCTGGTCGTCATTGAGAGGCATTCTGATTCCCTTTAGCTGCAACAGTAAACAAGACCTGGAAAGACAAATACAATTCCCATAAAACCAGCACTTAATTTTTTGTTTGTTTTTCAAAACAGTCAGGGGCTCATCACTATATTGTGAATGTGTTATAGCTGTTACAGGAAGGATCTGGCTTGACATGCACAGTCCTACAGCTATCAGCAAACTGTACCTGTTCTGTAAGAAAGTTTTGTACCTTCAGCTGTTTCATACCTTAATGATTATGTTAGAGATAGTCTGCAAATTGGTTATATTTAAAAAAATTAAAGACTACCCACAGTAACCCCTGAAACTGCTTGTTGCAAGAATTTTCTAAGTTTTCAATGTCCATAAAGGCATCTCATGATGTTACCATCCCCCATCTGACTTCACCAAGTGATGTTTAGCAATGAGCTTCCTTCCACAAACAGACAGCACTGAGTGTAACATTTGTGAAGCAAACACAGAAGTTGCAGGGGGAGAATTTTCAAGTAATTTAGAATACTAAACTTCTGACAGGGTGTAGCTGAAGGTCTGGCCTGCTGCTTTAGGTGGGTCTGTGCTCAGAATAAGATCAACAACGGCACAGACACAAAAAGCACTCCTCCTAGGGGTGAGGGTGGATAAGTTTTCTGTTTTCAGTCAAATGGCAACTCTGAGCCTCTAACGTTATATTTAGCATAGACAACCACCAGTGAAGTGTAACACTTCATAGTGCTTCTGTCTATGTAAAGAAACTGCCTTTCAGGCATATAATCTGCAATTGCAGAAAATTTGGACAGTTGCACAGTGTCATACAGATGATTAATAGTTGTATGACAGGAAGTGAAAAATATATTCATTATATTATTAAAATGAGAAGCTGGAAGTCATATGTAATTACTACCAAAGGAATTTGGCCCAGATACCAAAAGTAGCTGTCCATCTCTAATTATGGCCAGGAAGCATTCTGTAGTAAACTTTATGAAGAGACATAGCCAACAATGGCTTCCACCAGCAAATTTAACTAATATAATTTCACTTATGATTAAACTGCACCAACTCCAGTAGCAGAGAATACTGCACTCTGCATCTGCTGAACTTGGAAAAAGCCACTTTTGGCAATAAAAGGATGATCTCTGTGTATACTTATGTGAGTCAACATATTGTGGGGTCCTGGGATAGACAAAAGGTAGTAAGAATGAAGATCTCTTTATGCTGGCACCTAGTTACAGCTTAGAGCCTTTGACTTTTTGGGTACCAGCTCATCCTCAACAGGCCTTTGTAACTTGACAAGCTATTACACTGATGAGCACTTCCCTGTTAATTGAGATGATTAACAATTCTTAAGTGCATGTTTACTTGTCCTCCTCTCCCAAGAGGAAAGAGGATGCACTTGAGCCCCTTATTTATGTCATACTTCTTGCTGTTTCTTTGTAAAAAGAATTGATCCTGTTAGCAAGAATACAGCTAATAGTTTATTACCCTGTTGGAGAAGCCAGTAGGATACAGAGGACAGCTTAGGACACAGAGGTCATGCATTCAAGACTTGAAGCATTACCTGTGATCCTTAACATCATAACTCTTATTAGAACAGCAATTCTGTAATTTCTACCAAGCAACTGAAAACAAGGAGCTATTTAAAACAGGACTGACCAAACAAGACAGAGTTGTGAGGGAACCTAAAAAACCCAGGAGGCTGAGATATTTCGGCTTGTGAATTGTATTATGGTACAATTAGAAATGAGTCATCACTAGTTAATGCTACAGAAGAGAGACTATTTCTTCAATTAAAATGTGTGTTACAGATCTCAAAGCCAGTGCTGACCAGAGACCAGTTGTGACAAGTAACCCATCTGTCGAACACACTCCAGGTTCTTGATGTGGAATCACTCAGTGACCCCACAGAGCCTGCAAAGTTCACCCTACCCTCCCACTGTTTTTTTCTGGATCAGTATGAGAACACAATATTTCCAGGTTTCAATCACGTATAACACCCCTTTATTTACACATAAATAACTAACCTCCAAAAGGTTAATGTTGCATGTGGTCCATCGAAAGATTTGATTAACGTTGGTAGCAGTGAACTGGCACAAAGAGTCTTGTAAATCACTCGCCTAGTATGAGCACTTCAAGATGAGTCTACTGCTTCAGTCCCGGTGTTAAGTACATGGAAGAAGTTAAATGACCATTAAAATCCCCGAATTCTCACACAATTTATACATCATCATTCCAAGAACTTCCTAAAAACTGGACTAATGCTAACAAACATTCAGATTTACAAGGTGCTCCTAAGAGAAGTACTAAACCAGCCATGAAGGCAAGTCAGCATTGCCATCTTCCACTCAAATCTTGATTCCCAAGAAGGGCAAATGGTTAAGGTAGAAATTAGAAGTCTACATACATTAAGCCCTTACACACTAGTCCCAGAAAAGGATTTTTTTTTTGGCAATAAATACTTGCATTTCAAAGAGGCCCAAGACATATCTTGATGTACAGGACCATATCTGCATATACAATATATGCATATATATATGCATATATGTATGTGTATATATATATATATATATATACAATACACACACACATGCAGATAGCAGAGCTGACAGAGTTCAGAAGGATTAACTTAAATAAGAAGTTTCAACACTGCAACAGGGGATGACACACAAAAATTATTGCAATCTTTTGCCACAGTAAATGCATTTCATAGGAGGATGCCTCAAACACAATGGGAAGGAAGAATGGGTGTATGCTGCAAATTCAGAACATTATTGCTAAATTCTAAGCTTAAAAGATAAACACACCAAACTAAACATACATAAATATACAAGCAGAATCTGGACATGCCAACTGTAGTTTTTTTCTATATGCTGCCCAACAGCTAAAGCACTTAGGCAAAATAGAGCTGTTGAGCATATCAAAGGCAAGTACAAACCAAAAAAGGCATTTCTAATTAGTTACAACAACAGACAACTGAGTCAGTCCTTTCTTTATAGCATACACTGGAAGAGTTGATTTCCCTTATACTTTTGTAGGCAGCACAGAGCTTCTCATGAATTAGTAATGGCCAACTTCATAAGTAATTTTAAGTTTAAAATAGTATAATGGCCATGTAAAATACTTCAGAAAGCTCTTTAGCCTTTTAATATCTCTTTGTAACTCACCATCTTGAATAGACAATACTTTTTTTTTTGAGTTGTTCATTAGGTATTACATATTAGGCTGTTGTTTTAATGCAAAGCTTAATATCCTACCTATTCTATTAAAAGGATCAGCCTGTGTTTTCAACCTGTTTTACTCTTCTGCATTAAAAGTTACTGATGTTTACACTCTTATTAGGTTGGGTATCTTCATAGAGGCCTTCATTACTATATTGCAGGTTTTTTAACGATAAACTCTAAATGGGAGACCAAGCTAAAAGTATCTTCTAAATGTAGCAACACCAAGATTCTAGTTAACAATGAAGAACTAAATTCTCATGTTTCTGCTGCTGTTTAGACAGTTGTGAATTATTCTTTTACTAAAAATACAATGAATACAAAATTGTAGATGCTTGAAGGCATCCTGCTCTCATATGGTCACCACTTCACCCAACTGATCACTTAGAACCAATCAAGACTGCAAAATCAGATTAGTTTTAGAGGACATACACTTTTTATTCCTGAAGGATTGCACTGGAAGTTACTTTATGAAGCACCTAGGGGGAGGAAAAAAAAAAAAAGGACTGTTTGGAACAGTTTGGGTTTTTTCCTTCAGATGCTATCTTCAAGAAAAGGTTTTCCACAGCCCTGCTTTGTTCAAAGAAAGTGTCAATGGACGCAGGGACTTACGAGTGCACAGTCTAGTTTTACCACTATAAAGGTCTTAACTTTGTTTATCCTACTGGGCTTACATTCTTACTGTCTTCAACCTGGCACCGACTGAATCTCATCTGGGCTCGAGTTTCCCTTTCACTGACTCCACCTCTGCCAGCACTTGCGGCACAGGAGCAGAAAAGAGCCTTTGTTAAGAGTTACTTGCTTGTTTTTCCACAGCTTACAGCCAGCATTTCTCCCCTCTAGCTTTTTAGTTCCGCAGGTCTTCCCTTTGAACAGCGACTTCTCTTCAGGAAGGCTTACAAACTGTCGGTAAGAGCGGGATGAGTTCGTGTCCCCGAGCCCTGCCCGCAGCCCCGAGAGGAGCCCGTGTCCGCCCTGCCCGCTCCGCTCCCTGCGCGGGACGGGGGGAGCGAACCGAGGGGAGCCGGCGGCTCCTCCTCTTCCTCCATCTGTTTCACTGCCTGTCTCCTCCCCCGGCCCCATGTTTTTAATAGTTACCAGAGGCAGGAGTTTGGCACTCGCCGACCAAAACAAACAACGTTTCCAAGGGCAGGCCGTGGGGGGGAGGGCAGAAGCGGAGAGCGAGAACTCTCCGTCAGCCCCAGCGAAGGCGAGCCCGGCCGCCCGCCCCTCAGTGTCCCGTGTCCCGGGGAGATGCCGGGGGCCCCTGCCCCTTGGACCGGGGCTGCACGAGGGGAACCCCGCGGATGTGCCCTGTGCCGGCTGGCACCAGCGGACGGCGAAAGCCCATGAGACACGGGACA